TCGGCATTCCAGGGTGGAAAGAAATCGAAGAGGAATCAGACACAGACAGTATTTCCGTGCTAGCATATATAGATCCTGATGCCTGTACAAACTTTTAGTTTATAATAACTTAGTTCCGCGGAACAAAAAGATGCATAACACTCGTTCAGTGGGATCTAAGAAGGTTCTTTGCCCCACATGCCCCTTTGAAACCTGCAGATGTTGGACACAAATGCATAATCACCAAACACATTTAAATGAGGAAACTTCTGTCAGGTCGTACCAAGAGACATACACACAATCCTTGATAGAATTCTCTTGCGAAATTCACACGATTCGGCGCCAGTAGAGCAATCGTCATGGGGCGAAAAGGGCGCTAATGTCATGTCATCTAGGGCGTAACTTTAGTGGATCTCTCTACTCCGCCATTTCTGGCCTCACCCTTCTCACTGTACATTCATCACAAGACATCCCGACTTTGTATTACGCCCGTATCATGACCATTCGACTGATTGAAGCCTTGGAAGAACATCTTCCTGATATAGCTCGTATCGCAACTTCGGCTTTCCACCCGAACACAGATGCTCTGTCACGTCGCCTATTTCCCCCTCATCTACAACCGAGGGACCTCCCAGATGGCGAAGCAGCGTATGACTGGCGCTTTGCACGCAAAGCATCGAGCCTAGCATCACCAGAGTCTCACCTTGTAGTGGCAATTGATGACGAGAAAGGGCCAGATGAAAAAGTAGTCGGCTTCTCACTTTGGGACGCCCCTCCTGCATCTGGCGGTGATTCAGCACCCAGCCAGGAGATCCAATGCGCGGCGCTCGATAAGGAAGCATACAATGAGATGAAAAAGACTGTGAATCAAGATGCTGCCGATACTTTTGGGGAACAAGGAATCGCTGGCGTCTGGCGTACGTTTCCACCTCAACTTCCTCTACTACAGTGACTAACCGTCTAGATCTCGACTATATCGGTGTCAGCCCAGGTAATCAGAGACGCGGTATCGGCAAGATGCTGTTACAGTGGGGTCTCGATAACGCAGCTGCGGAACGAAAAGATTGCTATTTAGTGGCGACTGAAGCAGGTCGGCCATTGTATGTGGATGCGGGCTTCAAGGATATTCGTGTTGTATCGATTCTTGGCGTTCCTCATTATTCAATGATTCTGAGAGCTGGTGGTTCGTGAGACTTGCAGACGTCAAAATCTTATGAAATGAGATGACATGAATATATAACCAAAACCTACCTTGTCGCTGCTCAAGTTGTTGGTAGGGAGTGATTGAATCGATGTCACCTTCAGGATTATACCTAGAGTCACAAGAGCACTTGATGCACATGATCTCTCAGACGTCAGCCGTTGGCCAATAGGTCTCGAATTCGGAGAGGATTTGTCATGGCAATAATCCTATTCCCAAGTGTTCCTTTTTCTCCGGATAAGATAAGAAACCACGCGTGAGCTAAAGAATTCAGTAATCACTATACCAAATCGAGTGTGGTCTATTGGCTTGGCGCAACCAATTGTCAACATTTATCAGCGAACTATCGATTTTCAACAGACGTTAGCGCTCATGTAATTTAAGATGCCCCATCCATAGTGATAGCGCAAGCACTAAATACTTCAGCACTGCGAAACCGTTTTCCGTCAGTCCTGGACCTTTACCTTCATTTTCTCATTCCTTTCCTTTTGGATCATCACGTTCGTTACTGCGACTGTCTTATTCACTCATTATAAGATGGCATCGCAAAGACTTTTCGCTGCATTCGCGGCTCTCTCCATCCTCATTGGGTCTGAGGCTAGCCCCTGCAAGCCAATTTCTTCCACCACTGGGATCCAGGCTACATCAACCTTTTCTTCTGAGACTGAGACTGCCACTGCTAGCGACGCTACTTTCACCACTGAACTGACCTCAACTGAGTCGAGCTACGCCACCGACATCACCATCACTGAGAGTGAGACAGCGACATCCAGTGCAGCTGAGTCAACCTCAACCGTGGTTGTTTCCACTACCGAGACTTCTGCCTTCACTTCTACCACGGAAGCTGCCTCTACTACCTCAGCTGCACCTGTTGAAACACCTACAATTATCATCAACGGTGACTTTGAAAGCGGCAGCATTGCTCCATGGTCCAACTTTGGCATCGGCGCCTACGCCAACATTGACTCTTCAACAGTCCATGCAGGCTCTTGTTCTCTCACCATGGGCTCCCAGGCTAGCGAATGGTCAAACACCTTCCAAGTCCTCCGCAAGTCAACCCTCGTCGCAAACCAGCCCTACAGTCTCTCTCTCTACGCCAAGGTCAGCTCTGGATCTTCTTGCACTGCTTTCGAGGCGTTCATTGACAACAACGACCTCAATGATTCGTTTGGACTGAGGATTAGTGTTGCTGGTGTCCAGATCGCTAGTGACTTTACTCCTCTTTCGGGCGAGTTTTCCTTGACGCAGACTGCTTTAGACAGTAGCAATCCTATTCGGGTTGTCATCCGAGCGAAGTGCGGTAATGGTAACGTGGCGTGGGTGGATGACGTTCAGCTGGGTATTTCAGACTAATTTGACTCATCTCTGGGACCTTGATTTGCGGTTGTAGAGACAGTCAAGGTCAATGGTTCGAAGGAGCAGTGGCCAAGAGCTAAGGAGCATTTTTAGACACATTTCATCATAGCAGGTAACCAGGTTCGCAGCCAGGGCTTCGCTGTGTATAATTACCTATCCCGGCCATCCTCTGATGGTTGTAAAATAATTAGACTTTCCATTCTCAAAATATTTGGTCCCACTAATCGCAATTATCTAAATTGCAGTGACGATATACGTGTCCCGCTCTCAGCGTGATCGCCGTACAGCTGACAGAGCCTAAAGAGAACGCGAGATTACTTACAAAGAAATGCCAAAAAGAAAGCCTCGCAAACGCTCGCAATCGAATTTATATAGGAACAGCCCGATGCGGGGGTCGAACCCGCAACCTTGAGATCGCGTACTCGTAAGAGTCTCACGCTCTACCGATTGAGCTAACCGGGCGTGGCTCTTAATTGATGGTCGGCGTGCCCGCTGAGCGATCAAGAACATGGGGCGTCCGGTTCAGTCGGCAGTATTGAATTGAATGCGAAGTATTGGTGACTGGAGATTATGTATGTAGAAAGGTGCAGTTTTGGATATTTCGGCGTTCTCTTCGGTCAATTGCTGATGTTCGCTAAAACCGGTGGTACAGGGTGGCCCCTTTTTGTTGGTGAGACATACAAAGTTTGCGGTGGGAGGGCTTCGCTGGTTCCTCAACGTATTTCAAAGCAGTGGGAAAATGTGACCTTGTGGTGTGTAATAAACTTTCAGCGGAGAACTCAAGAGAGAGGAAGAAGGGAGTGAACCTTCTCATTAGATCTGATGCGAAACATTGTTCAAAAGCGTCTGCACATATGCTAATGGAACGACTCAGTTCCAGCTAGCATGGCTGGTAATGGTTTCCGTGCCTTAAAAACATTTGACAGAGTAATGATTATCCTTAAGTTTGCACATGAAAGGTCTTGAAAGCTCGATCGCAACTTGGTTCGCGGCGAATGAGCTCTAGATTCCCCACCAATCAAGTACTATCAACAGAGCACCAAACGACTCTTGGAGTAACCCAGCGCAAAAGGATAATCACAGTGAGGAGAGGTTCAGATGTTCCTATTTATTTCCTTATTCTGTTTTTGAAAGCGTAAGAGTGGGAATGAAAATCACTGTCGAAAGATACAGAAGATCCCCTCTCAACATGGGCTTCCCACCAAAGTATATGTTTGGTAGCCCAAAGATGTCTTTGTGACTTGAGATCCCTTGCACCGTGGAAGATCCAAAGACCTTGATGCCGAAGACTTATTTATTTTGTTGAATAGTAAAGTTCTCACCAAATACGAACTTTCATCAATCTGGTTCTATATTAAATCTGTCCCATTGTTATACGTCGCTCAAGTCGCTCTACAATAGTGAGATAAAATTCTACTTGAAACTTTTGTTATATAAATCCTTTATGCAAACGAATACCGCCATCGAAAAGTCTTGGTGGAGCACATGTGTCAATGCTGCATATGTCACGTTATTATACTAGACCGTAGACAATACGTCTCCGTCGTATGATGAAGCCGTAGGCTAGATTCCAGCTGTGTCTTAGCCACTGAAAGAAGTCCGATAGCACAACATCAGAAATTGGAGAATCCATTGGGAAAGCGGAATATAAAGAGTTCTCGAGTTGATCCGCCTGGATCGAAGCCAGAAAGATGAATTCTACTATGTTAGATAAGCTCCGTATGATAAACTCTGAATTGTTTCTACTATGATATTCTTTTCTTGTTACAGCTAAAGCAGATGAATACGAGAAAGACTGCATATAGTAAAAGTCGATATGCGATTTCCATGCGGAAAGAGCCGGCGCTGATATAAAATGCAATGAAAGAAGGAAGAAATGTATCACGTAAAAAGAAGTAGAACGGGACTAAACCATCTGGTATTCGTTCAATAGTCTTCTGAACAAAGGCCAGACAGGTTTGACGGTTTAGGTGGGATATGTGGGACCTGAAAATCAGGATAAAAATATCTTGCGAGTCGTATCTCTCGACTGACAAACAAGCCAAGGCGTAGTCGCAACCCCCAATACTAGATAAATCAAAGATTTCTAGTCATTCTTAGTGAGATTTTCCTGTCTTACCCGCCAATGCTTGGCGACCTGATGAATCAAGGCTTCACCATTCATCCATCACACAAGCACTTGCAGTTTGTAACGAGCATCTTCAAGTCTAAATATCTTCTGCCTTATGAAGACGGGGTATTAATGCCATATCTATTTTCCTTTTTTCCTTGATTCATTGGCTCAGAGATGAAACAAGATGGCGCCCATGTCTGGCTGAGTTTGCCTGTTGTATTACGCCGGAGCTGGAATTTATTTTTCCGCCCCCTTTGCTCAGCCATTCGGGTACCACGCCAAAACACGTGACGAAGTTGGACCGTGTTTACCGTTTACCTCATGCGTCGCAAACACATCACCACCCTTTCAATAATCAATCACATCAGCTCATTTTGAGCACATCCAGTCTCAACTAGACTTACAACCATCATCAACTTATTCATATTTTTCATCATTTTCCATGACGCCAAAGAACTCATCCACGCGTCATCGCGGTAGACCGCCGCCGGGCGTCAAGGGTCAATCGTCACCAGATTATCCATCTCATCGTGCTTATCACGCAGCGTCGCGCATTCATCAGTTGAGCGGAATGTGGCCAAATGAGCTGTGCAAAGGCTTTGTTCCTGACATGTGGGGAATTCGACTCATCGAGAGTCTCTCTGCGCTGGTGTCGCTCGTGGTGACCAACAAAGTTGATATTGAAGAGGTGCGACGCAGACTGAAAGGTCATGCGAACCACCACCCACGCACAAAGTATCCCCAACTACGCAAATCTGATATTCTCAAAGCCCGGAAATGGCTTCGCGGTATGGGGATTGATACCAAGCATACAAATCTAAATGAGCCTGTAACAGTGAATGACCAGAGCGACGATGAGATTGGCGACAGTGACGCGACTGAAGCAGACTCTGAACCTGTTGATGAAATAGTAGCTTTGGGTTTGCCCGAGGATCAGATCTCAGAGGATACCGATGAAGACGAGGATGAAGTTGAAGAGGACGAGGAGGAGAATGAAGGACAACACAATGAACCGGGGCAAGTTCAAGATGGTGACGCTGAAGAACAGGAAGAGGAAGAGGAGGTGGAGGAGCAAGAGGACGAGAATGACCTCGACTGGGCTGCGCCGAAGAAACAGAGCCCAAAGAAACTGAGTCCGCCTCGAGAAAGACGCCGCTCACCAGCCAGAGAAATCGTCGAGATCGAAGACGACGAGACAGATAAGGGAACAGTGGTGGATCCAGGTGGTGATGGCTTCATGATGAATGACAGTCCAGAGCCTGTACAGCCAAACGGTCTATCTGGACCTGATCACAGAACCTCAACACCCAACTCTGCATCAGCAGCCTCAAGCCGTCCGCGGCGCAGTATCCAACAACCATCTCGCTTAGTATCAGATACACCTAGGAGCTCTGTTCGCCAAAGCAGCGGCTCAGCAGAGTACACGTCTGCGACTCTCGCTGTCAGGAGTCCACCGGGTTCGCAACAACAAACACCAAGTTTTCAAGTACCGGTGCCCATACCCGCAACTTCTCAGCGCGATATGCGCCCTCCTCAACAACCTACACCAACTGCCTCTCCTGCAAACACAATGCAGAATTTTGTGAAACCTCGCCCACAATCACATACAGCAGTGCCTCTTCCCCCAATCCCCGGAACCAAAATTGCAATGCAACTCCAACGATCCAATAGCCAGCCATCGGCTTCAACTTCCGCTTCAAATTCTCGGAGTTCCGCAACTCCCCGCACACAAGCCAGCTCTCAGCCATTGGCGTCGCCCCGCACTAGTGCTACCTCTCAGACCCCTCAACAGCAATTAGGCAACTGGTCATCAGCGTCTAACCCCGTGGCTCCTCAAGGTGCTTACACCCAATCAGTGAACAGTCAACAATCGACGCCTCATCACCTGGCTCCATCTCGGGGTAATAAGCGCCCGGCTGAATCATCACCAGCAGCATCATTTGTGAACAATACCCCAACGAACGCCTCACGATCTGGAGCAAAGAGGCAAAGGACATCTAATGCTCTACCGCATCAGTTTCAAGTGCCTAGAGCAATCAATTGGGACGCAGTTTTGGTGAGAACTTTCCCTTCTAACTTTTCCTATCATGAATCTAACCATCTGTAGCCCTCTGGAGACGAGTTCAAAGAAAGCTTGAAAAATGCTTCCGATGCCATAAAGCCATTTGTGCACAAGTTTGAAGAACTGTTGGCCGACATCGACGACGAGCAACGCAGGCTCTCTGCCGTTCAGAGCAGCCTTTTCCATAAAAAGAACGATTATACAAACGACCAAAAGAAAGCCCAGGACGCTCTCAAAGACGTTGAGGAATCCACAGCCAACGAAAACACAACGCTTAGAGGTCTTGAGGAAGTTTACCAGAAGAACCCCGGGGATGCTGAGCTCCGCACCTTCATCAATAAGCGGAAGCAGACTATTCTCGAGCACAAGGAGGTATACATCATCGTCAAAAGCCAGCTCGACAAGAGCAACGCTGGAATATACAAGACCGATCATGAGATTGCGCTTGTTACTAAGAGACTTGGGCAGCTTGATGCTGAGAGAGCGGATGTTCTGAGGGAGAAGGAGGGTGTTGACAAGGCAGCCAAGCGGGTGAGAATAATGTCGAAATTCATGGAACCTTCATGGCAGGCTACGCTGGATATGCTTCTGCAGTCTGTGGGTCCTGAAGTTTTGGAAAAGGCTTTCTGAGAGGGATATTCATTGCTTTGAGTACATTTCGAAGGTGTAATATCTAGGGCAAAAGCTTTATCAAGCGGGGCGTTTTCTCGGACAGGATACCTTGTATGTTTTATAAAGTGTAGTGTAATCAGAATGCTTGAAACTTCTAGAACCGCTAAGGACCACACTATCGTCAAGCTGGAAATGTATAAGGCGAAAGAAACTTTTCCAAAAGATGGAAGCTACATAAGCGGATGTTAATAGTAGTGTGATCATGAGTCTGGTGGCTTTTCTGAGTGTTATTGTGCATGTTGAGGAACTTTGTCCAAGAGTCCTATGGAATTTAGGAAGTGCCCTTCCAGAACTATACTAAAGCTAGGAGATATTTAGATAGGGATTTCTAATATATTCATGACTTGAATAAGACGTACATCCTAGAGAACCCGGTTCATGCTTCAGATATTCTCTCCTTCTTTGACATGACCTTGCAAGAGGTAGTGCGACGCTTCCCCGCACATCGGGCACTCATGGTAAGCCCAGGGCTGACAATCAGGCAATACCAGATAACCAGTTGCTCCAATCACAAAGTCATATAACTCAAATATTTATCTCCATCTTAATTAAAGGATGGGGCAGACCAAAGGTCAAACTTGAGTATAATGCTCTTTTAGCCGAAAGCCCCAATGTTTGCTGGACCTCCAGTAGGTACATATCAACTGCAGCAAACCGGCTTGAGTGCCGCTCTATCAGCGTCACGCGAGCGCCGAAATACCACTTAACTGAAAAGCTTGTGTAATAATAGTACTTCTGAGATGAGTCACGGTTAATATTATTCACTTCGAGAACCTTTGCGTTGTGAGTGCGACAGTACACTATTGGTCTATTCCCAGGTTCTGGGGCAAAGATGAGACTGGAAAACTAGTACCCTGAACACAGTGATTGACAGCAAGTCAATCCCATGGCCGCCCCAGAGATGCAATGAACTTATGAAGCCGTGTTACTCTCTCGTTGACATCGGGTTGACACGCGGTGGAAGAGCTGAGGAATTGCAGAAAGACTTCGGCCCTTGGAAGCATTATTTAGAAGGGCATGCGATTCGGAGTCACCGATGCCTAGTACCAGGATTTTAATTGTCTTTTCCAGCATTTCGGGGGCATAGAACATCAGTTTAACTTAGTTGTTTCACCAAATGGCCGATCCTACGAACCGATGGGGGGAACCAAGGAGTAGTCCTCGTTTCAGTTTGGCGAAGTCCAAGTCGGTTCACTAGCTTGTACATGTATGTTGGCCTTGGGTGCGCCCGCTCACAAGTCGCAAGGCCTTTACAGCTGGTGCATGTTACAACATCTTATATGAGTACACTGCAAAATTGCTATCGTGTCCTTATCACCTGTGTTGGCACTATATAGTTTAATTTTGTAAGAAGCAATCATCTGTTTAGTTGCAGAATGCCAAAGTGATAAATGTATCTAAGTTTGTCTCATAGTCTTTCCAATAACATCAAACCTATTGAGAAGATAAAAGATACATGTTTGTGAAGCCTTGCTCAAAATGGCTCAAGCACCAATTCTTTACAGCAAATAAGGGCTGAAGTCAAAAGCAGACTCAGCTTTTCCTGAAGCAAGTGCAGCAGCCTTCAAGGCATCCCAGTTCGCATCGCTGACACCAACCTCATAGTCCCAGCCTTGATGAGGATCTGCATTCGGGAGGATCTGCCAGTAGAACCAGGGGATTCCCGCTGCATCAATATTCGCTGCCCACTTCTTGATATTGCTATCTCTCGTGTTCGCGGGAACTGGGCTTCCTCCGTTGCAGTTATCTTTCTCGGCGTCGGTGTAACATACACCCCACTCTTGCATGATGAGCTTCTTGACTGCCTTCTTTGCCTTATCAACGAATGGCTGAAGTCTGGAGGCTGTAAGGTCGGCGACACCGTAGGCGTGGATAGCAAGGACGTCGAGGCTATCGCAGGTGAAATATGCATCGAGGAGAGAGTTGTCTAGGTAAGCGCCGCCGCCGGTCGTGACGAGGATCTTCGAGTTTCCATTGAGGTTGTCTTTGATGCTTTTGGCCATGGTGCACTGCCAGGAAGTCAAGGCTTGTGGATTCCCCTGTACGATCAGAGAATTATTCAAGTGCATCACGCTGCCTGGGAAACGAGAATCTGCGAACTTGCGGATGCATAGCTTCGTTCTGGGCCTCAAAGGCGAAGATGTAGTCAGAGCTCTGGGCCCACGTTTTGCCCGTCTTGGGATGCTTATGCGCAAGAACATGAGCGATGCGGTCTTCAAACTGGCTTATCGCTTTACTGCTGGTGTAAAAGTCGCCAGTACCGTACCATTTTCCATAGAAATCACTGTTGTTCTCAAGAGCATTGTAGCTGTGAATGGAGATGAGAAGTATGATACCATAATCGTGAGCCTTAACCATAAAGGTATCCAGCCGGCTCAGCACGGTGTCATCCCAGTCATCCGAACTAGTGCCTTGTAGGCTTTTGAAGTCGTTGATGGGCGTTCCCTTTGTAGCTCCTGATTGGCCTTCAAACATGATAAGCTGGCGTCCTGGCGCTCACGCTGTGATTCAAGCGAGAGTCTCTTACCATCAAGCCATACGCGTAGAACCTTGACACCGGCACTTTGGAGGCCATTTAGCAAAGTGGTCTGCTGTCCATCAGTCAGGCCAGCAGCATAGTAGAGGTTCGAAGCCGAGAAGGACTTCGCAGCGTTTGCAGGTGCCACAGAGAACAAACCGAGCATCAAGCTCGTAAGAGAGGGGAACTTCATGATGGTCGTCAAACAAGCCTGAATTGTCCAAGTCCTATAAATCACAGTTGTTTCCTTCCATGAAACTTATATGGACTTTCTATTTAGTGGTTAAGCGGCTTCTTTCGACTACCTATCCCAGGCTTGGAAGGTCGTAAAGCGCCGGCAATCCCGGGCAGGCAGCAGCTCTTCTGGACCCTATTCTGCAGGTTTACCTAACATGAAACGAGGGTTGTTTCAATGAACAGCATGGGAACTAGGACTTGATAAGTACGGACTGGTTAATAGTGACCGAGCTGCTGTTCATCCCATGTATGGGAAACAGCCCACTTTGGAGACTATATTGTGGTTTCCTTCATCTCCGATCGCCGTGGCCCTGGATCGTTAGAACCATAATGCCGTTTAGATGATACGTTTCATTCGGGAATCACCCTCGTCTCTCAATTATCACATTTCTAGGGAAAGGGTACTACCTTATATTCAATAGTCTGATAGATTCTATGCTACATGCCGTTGCATTATTGCTAGCGCGAGAACTTTGACTTGGTTTCACAACTGTGCAATAGGCCAATATTAGAAACAGGATCGGTGAAATGAGTCAATTAGTAGATTCCGCACATACCAAGTCCGAAAGCTTCTCTTTTGATCCCAATGCAGCTCTACTGCCAAATAATGAGGTTTTGTATAGGTGCCAGTCTCATTTAATAGAACCAGTGCATTTAACGAGAAAACTTGCAACCGCTATTCTAAGTAGTAAAAAGACATAGACAGGTTTAAAAAATATTCAATAATCCTTGGATTAGTTATTTTTAAGGCCTCATCCAAATATCAGAAGTTTTCTGCTTAATGGTGATCGCTTATTCAGGCTGCCAGCTTTATGGCACCCTTTGCGACTCCACTGGCAATTATACAGTCAGCATTTTGCAGCAAAGGCCTACAACCAATGACAAATTTCCCTACGGTGCATCAGCCCCCAACAACTCTTTGAATTTCAGGCCCCCAGCCGCAAAATATCCACTGAGTCAAAGCCCTGGTTGCCAAGGCCCCAGTGGATATTTTAAGCTAAAAAAACGATAATCCGCCAAATAGCGCATTAATAGTTCAGGGCCATAGCAAGAAAAGAAAAGTACAATTTATGTTGGTGGTAATTGATCGGGTATAAGTAAGGGCCTTTAGTAGACTTTCCACAGATATTCACTCTTTTTTTTTCTTGGTATACTCACCTCAGTCTTTCATTACCATGATTTTCCCAAACTCATTGGCGGTTGCATTCGTTGCCTTTGCGGGCGTCAACGCTGGGCCATGCCGTCCTTCATCATCGACTACTTCGAGTGAGGCTACTACTATCATCACAAGCAACGCTGAGTCAGTGGCTACGGTCAGTACTTCCGTTCAAGATACGACCGAGACTACTACCGCGACATCCGCTGAGTCTGATGTGTCCACCACAATCATCCTCTCTGTGTCCGAGACTTCAGCAGCTATCGAGTCTGACACCACTACACTCTTCACAACCACCAGCCAAGACCTTCCCACTACCATTACTACTACAACTGCAGCCATGACCACCTCTGAAGCTCCCGATGCCCCTGCACCGCAATGTGCTGATCTCGACAACCCCTACTTCGCAGACGACGAAATCGAATATGAGCTCTATTGTAACTGGAGATTTGATGGTTACGAAGATATCGGATATCAACAAGATAGCACAATGGAGAAGTGTATCAAGGCTTGTGGTCAGCTCGGTGCTTGTAATTACGCCCAGTTCGAGACCGAAAACAGTCTGTGTATTCTGATTGCAACGGGTTTCGACTATTCCAGCAATAAGCCTGGGTTTGCTGTTGCTGCTAGACAGAGGCCTAATTGATCGAGGGTGTCGTCAATTAGCGAGATGCTGTTCTGCTCAAATATTTTGTTCTATGGCAGGTGATAGTTCAGCATCTTAACTCATTTGGTTTGGCTGTCAGTTATGGTACATGCTTTTAAGTATGCGATTGGCCAGTTAGTGCTAGTTGTCATGGGGGTATGTCATTGTTAGATTCCCTGGAGTACTACTTGAAGTCAAATTGCAAGTAATTTTCATCGAAGCTATGTTATTGTGGTTGTGAATAAGATGTATAAGAGTTCCATAAGTGAAATCAATACTGCGATGCCTCTCTTTCTATCAAGACAGCATCGTCAAGAGAGAAAGTGACAGAGTTGCAAATAATATTCACATAAACGTAGGGTCCAGCATCAAGCTGAGCTTGATTCCAAGTGCAGCTAATTGCTCCCAAAGCCCATGCATTCAAGGGCCCTCCAAACTCCCCCGAACCGACCGAGGTTCCTCCGCCACCGCATCCTAACCGCTGGGTATTACAACCGCCAGAAGCTGTGGTCTTTTGGAAAATTGAAAAGCGATATTCTTTGCCGGTGATGATCGTGGAAGGGTCAATATCTTGTTTAACGGACCAGACAATTGGTTGGATAAGTCTGCGTCTGAGCCCCCCTGTAGGCGGAACTGAAGAATCGAAAACACCACACTGAAGCGATCCTGGGCGAGACGTGTCGCTGCGGATGGATAGCCACCCGCGATTTGCTACTACGACTGCCTTCCAGGGCGCGAAGGTAAGATCTTCAAAACCGGGATTGCGAATTAAGTTGGTGGGTTGTCGCTCAATAGATGTTGTCGTGGTGGATGTCTCTTCAGTTGATGTCTCAGCTGAAGTTGCAGCTGAGGTGGTATAGACTAATGGCTCATATTTCGTGGTGCTTTCGGCAATAGTTGTCGTTTCAGAAGAGGCTATGGATGATGATTCTGTCTCTCCAGCAGAGGCTGATGAGAATACAGTTGTCGGTGTGACAGACTCGGTCTCTACGGAAAGAATAGTAGAGGATAAGACCATAGAGGTGGCAGGCTCTGTCGTCGTTGAGCTTGCTGACGATATGTCTGTACTGGTCGTCTCAGCTTCACTTGAGCTGGTGGTTCTGATAGATGTAACAGAATTGGGGGGTTGAGAAGAAGGCTTGCATGGTGAGGCTGAAGCCAGCTGATGCAGCGTCAAAAGCTGAAGTAATCGATACGCCAGTCTCATAACCACGATTATGATGTCCTTGCGGGACTGCGATGATACCAGAGAGAAACCCAACAAAGAGGGTAACCAGTTAAGAATAACCGGGAAACAGGCGCAATTAAGCATAAGGACTCACGCTAAATTAGCTTGAACAACAAATCAGTTTATTGTGATAAACTAACTCCGCGGACCAACTTTCCTTTTTTTCCCCCCCTTTTCTGTTGGTACCTAACCATCGATTTATTGTAAAACTATTGAACGTGGCGCTGCTGACTTAAACCTCGGACCAACATGCACCCCTGGCTTTGTGGGGCATGAAAGCGAAGGGTCAATGTCGATGGGTCACTGAAAGGGTCCCCACGGACAGTGAGAAGATTAAAAAGATTATTGCTTAGCAGTCTGCAGTTGATTACAGACGGATAACTATTATTAATAAAGTCTTTGGTTCAGTGAAAATGCGATCTAAACCTATTACAACCCCCCAAATAACAGTTTAATCTAATCCGATGCGTCACTTGCGACCAAAACAGCATCATCGGCCAGAAAAGTCAGACCATTGCACACTCCCGCGACCTGGATACTTGGTCCAGCATCTCGCTGAGCCTGATTCCACGTACAAGTAACTGTTGTCAATATCCAACCATTCGTCTGCACTGCACCCCAATTCGCCGAGTTCACCCAACCTGTTCCTGCACCGCATGCAATAGTCTGCGAGATACAAAAGTTGGAGGCAGTAACTTTGGTGTATATCGAGAATCGGTATTCTTTGTCGGCGACGATCAAAGATGAATCAATTTCTTGCCTGATGCCCAAGTTGACGAGGTTTTCTCCAGAGGCGCTGAAATGGCCTGCTTGGGTTGATGGGGGGAAACCTGAATCGCTGTCTATAGCCAAGGCTCCGATGTTGTTGTTTACGGTCCAAGGCGCGACGGTTGAGTCTTCGAAACCGGGGTTGCTGATCAGATTGGTAGGTCCTGATGCGGCAGTGGTGGTTGTCGTGGTTTCAACCTCGACACTGGAGGTTGCGATTGAAGTTGCGATGGTAGAGGAGTCAGACAGTGTCTCAAACTCGGTTGTGGCTGTAGTTTCGTAGATAAAGGCCGTAGATGACACCGTCTCGCTGGTCTCAGTGGTGCTTGTTGGCGCTACTGAAGTGATGGTGGAAGAAGGCTTGCATGGCGATGCTAATGTGATTCGGCACAGCGCCAAAAGCTTAAGAACTGAATATGTAAATCTCATGGTGACGGTAATGACAGTATGGATGTTGCAAAAAGAGAAAACGAGGCGTCAAGATACTCGTGGAAACATGGTAATTAAGCTGAATCCTTGAAACTTAAAACATTGTCTAAATAAGGCGCCATTTCCGTTTGACAGATTTGATCCATGGAATTTCCCCTTTCCTCTACCATGAAAACAGAGTAGCTTTCTTGACTACTGTTTGGTTCTGCCAAACTATTGATTGTGGCGTCGCTGGGACCAACAGTCTCCCCTGCATTCTGAAGATTTGTGGGGTCGTGGACATGAGACTTAGGATTGTTATCGATTAGCATTTGAGATTTACTCATCTTTTACATATAACTGTTTATTATCAGAGTCTCAATCAGAGAGATTAATGGGTACAGCATTTATAAACTCGAAAGAAAGAGTCTTGATATCACGTTTCACCAGGTTCTTTTGGTTAATGGCGTATGTTGAATTTGGACCTCAGATATTCACTTTAAGTGCATAAAACAGAAACGTGGGTCAACAACATGAAGCTCTCTCATAAATGAACAAATCCCTCTCAGTCCTTCAACTTCGTAAACTTGATCAGACATTTAGATTCCTGTAGCTAGTCAATAACACGCCGTATTAACAAGAATGAAGAGAAGACTAACCTGAACATTGGGGAATCGATCGTCATAGAAAGTCTCCACGCGAGCTGTAATGGCAGGCGTAGTATCCTCAAACCCTGGAGCAATTGTCGTTCTGAACTGTCGGTACATGGTGGCTGTGAGTGTAGTCATTTCGGCCATAGCAAGACTGGATCATGTTAGACACTGAGATTCAGAGAAATCGAGGGGCGAGAAGCAACTTACTGCATGCCAATGCACATTCGCCCTCCACTTGAGAATCCCCAGAACCATCGGTTCAGCTCCGCTGCATCAGGTCCAAGCCATCGATCAGGGTTGAAGACCAAGGGATCCTTGAATACCGACTCGTTGCGATGCATGATCCAAGGCGACATGCCGACAACAGTGTTACCAGGAATGGTATATCCATCAATAACCGAATCAATGTCGATCGAACGAGGTTCAGTGCTTGGCAAAGGAGCGTAGAGTCGTAGAGTCTCCTTGATGACGGCGTTGATATATGTGCATCGATCACTTGCTTCGGCTCTTGGATTACCCCATTGGTTCAGTCCATCGCCTGAGATGGCCATGACTTCTTCTCGCAGCTTTTCCTGATATTTCTCGTTGCCTGGAAGTGAGAGTGCCCAAACAAGGAACATGAGGGTGTCGCTAGTGGTGTCGATGCCAGCGAGGAAGTGGTCAGCACATTCGGATGCCATCTGCAAATCGCGGAGTCCACCAGGTTTCTGAGATTCATGATGTTGCCAGAGATTTTCCACAATCGAAACATGTTCATCTGTCATCTTTGTAAGCTGTTTGCATACAGAAGTCACAAATACCACTTACCTTCTGAATGAGTGATCTTCTCCACATCAGCTCGGAAGGCCTCAAAAGCCCGCAGAGCATATCCTCGGATACCGGTGTATGTAGTGGGCTGCTGCATCGGAAGAACCGGCTTGACAAGTTTACCCATCAATCCTGACTGGCGATACAGCCATTGAGTCAATGCCTTCAAATGCACAATCGACCAAGAGAGCTTTCGACGAGAGGGATGCAGAATATCCGCGATGAGTTCCCGATGAATCTTTGAGCCTCGAATCGCTGCAGTCTGGCCATACTTTCCATAAACAAAAGCGGTTATGTTGTCCAGTGAGTAATAATGCAGAGTGCTGAAAATCTCACTGACGTTCTCAGGCTCGGCTTCAATCAGATCCAGGTACTGACGAACCCTCCTCTCAACCATTTTCGCGGTCGGCGGCTTGAGAACAACGGACTTGGAATAGGCGTGCGACAGCAGCTTCTTCCTATCCCCATGCTCCTTGGGAGAATGGAAAGTGAACAAATTCTGCTCGCCATAGACATCAAACATGCGATAGAAAGTTGTTCGGCCATATCGGCTTCCGGGTCCGTAGATGGTTCGCAGTGCTGAGAGGCTGTTGAAAGAGACCTCATGAGGACCGATGCGCACGACTGGTCCGTATTGTTGGTGGAGTTTAAAAATTGTCCGAGTTCGCGTTCCTTTCCAATCTTCGTAGGCGAGACGCCATTTTGTCGCGGCGAAGGATTTGGGGCCGGGGACGTGGCGAAGAGGGCTGAGGATGAGGGGATCGAGGAAGATGTGCTTGATGAAGAGCACGACAGCGACTACAGCTGCCACAATTGGGAGTATAGCCATCTTGAGAACAAATTTAACTGCCTTGAGATAAATGAAGTCGTCATCAAGCCAAGCGAATGATATACGTCAGATAGCAAGGGTCTTTAAGTATCGCGCAACTGGTCAATCAAACCCTTGTCGGTCCGTCAAATCGGTACTGAATGTGCTTCCCCGCACACGATAAAACATGTTGCGCCAGGGCGTAGACTTCAGAGCAAGGGCGCGCCTTTTTCTACAAACGGATCATCTGAACGACCGGCAGATAAAGACCGCAGTGGATCTGATGCACAGCTTGGCACTCAATTCGACGTTTGTCAGGGCGGAGAAAGGTCATGATTTCCGGTGCGCGGAGGCCTTGGACCGACGGGGCTCGGCAATTGACGCCGTGTTCGGGGGACTAGGCTTGATGCAGGTCATGTATACTGGAGATGATTGTTACTTGACCAATTAGAGACGGGTTATTCCAAAGATTTGCTTATCTTATAAGGGCTTATGATGTTGCCCCGCGTAGCACGTTGGGACGTCCAATGTGATCATAGTCGGACAAACAATGCGACACATCCACCAGGGTAAATGAATTGCCCCCATGTGTGAGTGTCAGTCATTCGAGCATGAGTAGCTATGTAGACTCTGAAGCTGATTCAAGCAACATGAGCCAAGGGAATGCAGATCAGAATTGTGGTCCTAAGAAACTGCACAAGAGGGGTCAATTTCCACGACGTCTTTGGGATAGACCCTCCTTAATCTATTCTACAGTCAATGGATACATGAATCAACACCCGAATCTTGACCTCAAAACTAGATGCGAACAAATGGAAGGCCTGGTGTTCTTGTACCCTTGTAGATGCTTTAATAGTAAACTGTTGCAAAATAATCTTGTACTCCATACAGTGTCCGTTTATCAACTCTTTAAACACGGCAGATACTATGAACGCAGTCCCAAACTACATTTTGTGCATACAATAACCCTATGTCATGCACAGATACAAAGAAAGATACCATTGAGCCTATGAATCATCCCACTATCAGGTCATTCATCGTTGACTGTCCTCGCGATGAATTGTTTCTCCTGGTCCAGCTCAACGTACCCGCCTACTGCTTCCCCAGTCCCACGTCCATCACAAAATACTTAGCAAGTCAAGTGTGGCTGGGGCGGTGGGATCGTCCTGTCGTGAACGATAGCCACGAGAACATGATCGAGCGAAACGTATGCCCAACCCGATCTCACCGAGTCACAGTTTCGGAGCACAAGTGCCAGAACCTGCTGAAGGTCACCAGTAGTAAAGGTACCCGGTTTACAGTTATTCCACACATCTCCCATTAGTGATCTGAGGTTAGAATGCTCAAATGAATACATACTTGGTTGCGGACCGTGATCATAACTCTCCGATAGCCACCGGCCGTAGGACCAGACCATTGCCACCTATTACTTGGTTTGAAGGGTTAGTTGTATGCCCTATCTTCTCAGTGGGATGTACTCACGTGAAACGCTCCTTTGAGAGCGAGGGTCCCATTGAGCAATTTCGTCGAAAGCAGAACGGACGTCGGATTTGTACTGCTCAACCTTTCGTGAGGGGAGTCCAGCGTTGCCGAGACACAGACCCCATAAGACCTGTCGCTTGTTCAAACCGGGATTGGGTGAAGCGTGCTCGTCAAACACAGTCTTTGTACCAGCTGGGGCGATTTCACTCTCGGAAATCTCAGAAACTTCTCCCACAGAATTGAGGTCGATCAATTTGGCGGAAGCAGCAGGTTCGCCCTTAGGAAGGGCTGCGACCCCGCTGAAGGCGAGGAGAGCGTTGAAAAGAACAGTTGGCAGTTGCATATTGGATGTTTAATCCCCGAGTTGTCTTGAAGACAAAAGGTACCATTCACTGCGGCCACGATTCTCTATAAATACTGTATAGGACCTCATAGTTCACATGCAAATAGATGTTATTCTATGCTTGTTTCGATGGTCACAGGGGTTTGCAAGAGCCGCAGGATGAATAAGTCCTATAGAGATGCTTAGAAACGCATCGTTAGCGACAAATAGATCAAGCTTTTTCAGCTTCATCTACGAAAAATCCACCATGGAACCTGAAGAGGAAGCTCTGTTGTTGAGATTTCGTATTGGACGTAATTTGGATGCATGCGGCCGGAGCATAGGGGCCGCCTTTCACTTAAGACACGGCATATGGTCTGATCACTCTGATGGGGGGGTGCTTGTCCAATAGACGCTCCTCATCATCACCACGTAGCTGTAAGGCTGGGTTCGGCCGCACCTAGCATGCATTGCAACTGCTGTAGGGTGTGCTCGCCTGCAAGGATCATTCTTTCACAGGAAACTTGTGATTTGGGAACTCCAGAGCAGCTATCACATGCTCACCTCCACCACATTAGGACGATCAAAAAGCTTTGATATTCAGGGCGGCTGGAAAGAAAGAGCAACAGTCTTGTGCTGGCAATGCTACCGAGAATGAGAATCGAGGATAGTACAAAACTGCCAATTAAATCAATGCTACCGCGCTATAAGAGCCATTGTACTTCAGGGGTTCATGTTGATGCTTCTTCGGTCCCCTCAGCATCTTGCGAACAGCGCCCGCGGTGTACATCAAAAAGGTTACCAGACCAACTATGCCATAGCCAATAATGAGTTTCATAGATGCGCCAGCGAGTTGCAGACCGAGCCCACCGTTGACAATTCCAAGGATCATTAGAGCTCGGCCGTACCAAATGTGAGCGTGGCTGATGCCTGTTCGTCGCTGATACTTGGCGAAATTCCTGTGATGTAGCCATCCTAGGATTGGCTGGACGGCCATCAAACCACAAACGACTGTGCCAATGATGACATGCGGAGCGTTGAACCACTGATCAAAAGTCAGTCAATACTTCCAGAAGACAGGCTTGGCTACTTACATCACCGGTACGGTCGGCAGCCAACTTGCCAGCAACAAACCCAGCCCACATGCCGATAAAGACGATCATCTGCCACGTAGCGTGGATAAACCACTTTCCGATTATGGGCATCAACAGCGATCCGAGCGGGTAGCCCAGTAGAAAAACCACCGACATAATGATGCCGTGGATAGTGCTAGTTTTGCCTTCTCCACCGCCACCAGAACTTGCACCACTCGGTGTAGCAGTCGTCATGTGAATGAAGGGGTTGCTATTGGAGTTCACAACAGCTTCAGAGAAGTCAACCGAGAAGCTATTGTGCCCATCATGCTCTTCGATATCAGCATCAATGTCAGTCGTGTTCAAAGAACTTCCAGCCTTCCAAGCACTGATCCAATGATTCGATCCCTTGAACCGCATATTTCCGAGGTCGCCGCAATGAATATTGGCAACCATCGTGTTATTCACGACACCACTGCCCTCTATCAGCCTCACAGAGCGCATGCGACTGTGTTCCGGCATCTCGTGGCCATGTCCCATCCTCGTGCTCAGGGTGACATTACCAGTACCATCTTGGTAGATGACGAACATGGTTGAGCCGCTCATCTTATCACCGGTGCCAAGGCCAACCCACTGGTATTCGATGGGAGCTTGGATACGGATGAACAAGTTGCCGGAGCTGGACGAGGCTGTTGAGGATGGGACGGCCCAGGTGTAGCAAATCTTGTTGGATTTGCCATTGCAGTATGACGTTGGGGATGCGGAGGAATGGCCGGCAACTAAAGTGAAGATAATTAGGATACGTTTGTAATATGCATGGTTGTTCGCTACTTGCAGAGTGCTAAGGCCGCTGCGATAGCGATGCTTGTAAGAGATTTCATGTTGCCGATCGTGGGCCACCAATATGTTGGTATGTACTATGTGTGTAAAGAATGGCAGAGAGTGCAAGTGACCAGCTCTGCAGCTCGTTTCCTGGATTGAACGGCTTCTTATGCAGGCTCGTTGCTGCAGCCAGCTTCTGCTGAAGCACATGATGAACCACTAGCTTCCAAGCCACTCAGCCCAGTGAGCGTAATCTTCCCCAAGGGCTAAGGTACTACAGGCCTCAGGGTCTGTTTTGTTAATTCCTACTAACTGGGTACTAACTGTGCTATAGAAATAATATGTAAGAAGAGGTATCTTGCTTTTGGTGTGGCATCCATAATATGGTAGTCAGCCGAATTGGCTTACACCATATTAGAGTTCTACCAATTGCATAACTGATGTGGCCAGTTTGCCAAAACAGACCCCTGCGGCCTGTACAAAAATAGGTTCAACACAAGCTCCTGTGCTCATCCAATCAAGAGCCCGATAAGCCTGCCTAGATCTTGATAGGGCTTACTCAAATGGGTGAGTACCGCCGGCTGGATAAGATGCCGAATCTTGATGCAGGGCAATGTCAGCATCCGTTGAAACGGCTGTGGCTCATGTTCAGCTGGTATCTGTGCGCAAGCCGCATCGCCCAGAGATCCCCAGTCTTGGCATTTCAGTGACATGTCTCAGCGAGAACACTGGTGAGATACGAGTTTTCGTTTAGTTAAGCCATAATGACTCCAGACATTTGAACCGACCGAGTCACTCACGATCCTTTCGTACAAGGCGTGGGAGTGCAGAACAGCCGGGTGCTAAATAACGTCAACAATAGCTGAGTATTGATGGCCGCGATCCATATCAAGTCTGTCGACCTCAATGTTAAAGAAGACTCATGGGGTCCATTGGATGATTGCGACAGCGTTTCGGCTGGTTGGTCTCGAACGGCATCTGTCGAGGCGGCGGGGTAACCCGTTACACTGAGTTGAGGTCCGGCAGTGATTGAGTTGCCGGCCATTGACGGCAGCGAATGATACTCATCGTTCACAACCTAGACATTACCGAAAATGCTGTAGTCTCGACTCGTGCGAGACAAGCTTTATGCCGTAGGCCCCCTTAAAGCTCTGGCCTGAAGGTTATTAGGATCTTCAGTCCCGAGCTGAAAACACGATCGGGGAACCTTGAAACATAGCCTTACATAGACGGCATGCAGCATCAGATGGGCATTATCTGACTATCTTTTGCCCTGATTGAAGGAGCTTCGGAACTGGTTGCTGCTTGTTGAGATTGAAGCTCGCATTGCCGCCAAAATGGCACTTCCCTTGCGGGTTATGCAAGTTACGCATGGAAGGATGCGGGGCCATGGCAACGGCGGTCTTTCATGCAGAACGCTACAGCGGCGAATCAGCAGCAGAAAAAGTCATGTCACTTGGGCTCGGAAAATCCCGAGAAGTCGGTAGTGGAGCGAAACAGTGCAAAGTCTATATCACCAACGATAGCACGGTGAAAGAAGGCAAGTGACTCATATCCAGATCAATGAAGAAGATGTCTTATTTGTGATAAAGGAGGAGAGAAAACGTTTACGTTGGAAAAGATCCCATTCCAAGTAGCTATACAGCTATTCTAAGGCCTCCACATAAATCCAGGGTGCTTCCAATCCATAACACGAATCTCTGCATCAGTCTTCCCAGCCAGAGCCTGACCGACCTCAATCGCAGCTCTCCTTCTGTTATCCCAAGTCATGTATACTTGCAGCACAATAGTGAGAAGAAAGATAGACGAGCACGCGCCAAGATTGAGACCATTTCCGATTGGATAATTTGGTCCATCGAAGGGCAAAAAGCACCATGTCGAGATCAATCCTCCAATGTTACCAAGCATGACGTTCAAGCCAATTCCTGAAGCGCGTGCTGTGTCGCTGACCAAGTTGGCTGATACTTGAGCATTGGATAGAGCGCCGTTGGCGAAGGTGCCTGCGCAGATGAGGAACGTGCCAGCGTAGCGGACATAAGCTGAGGTGAGTTAGTTAGGTTACCAGGATGGAGTGGGGTTTGAACGTACGGTTCGTGGTACTGAGGAACATGATGTATCCCGCGATGACTGGAAGCTGTGACAAGTTGATAAAAATATTTCGCTTATCAATGCGAGTCGACAGGAAGCTGATGGTAACAGTACAGAAGGTACCGACGATATAAGGCGGCACAGTACGCAATTGCTGTTGAACGACTGAATGGTTGGGGTAGATTGTCCTCACAATCGTAGGTGCGAAGAAAGCAAGGCCCTGTACGGTGATGTTGGTGAACAGGAAGATGGTGGAAGTTCCGATGGTAACAGGTGAGCTGATACCCCGACGTGCCAGTTTCCAGGAGAACTTCTCAAGGACTTCGGTGGCACCAACACGCTCAGACTTGATACGCGCAATGGCCAGATCTTTCTCCTCTTCTGACAACCACCGCGCAGTGCTCGGTCGATCAGTCATAGTAAAGAACGCGATAAGCGCCAGGCCAATAGTACAAATACCCTCAATAGCAAAGATCATTCGCCATCTCGTCAATGAGCCAAAGCTATCTAGCTTCAGAATACCAGAAGCCAAAAGACCGCCGAAAGCTCCGCCAAAGGAACCCATGGCAACATATATTGCCAAGCGGAAGGCAAGTTCGCTGCGTCTGTACCAGCGGCTGAGATAGTATGCGATACCGGGCAACATGCCTGCTTCGAAGATGCCGAGGATGAAGCGCACGGCACAAGCTTGGCCCATTGTGTGAACAAAGGCGGTCCCGAGGGAGGCGACGCCGAATGCTACGGAGGTAGCGGGGATGAACCAGCCGGGTCCGATCCATTTGCAGACCATGTTAAGGGGGAGTTCGAAAACGATGTAAGACTACCAAGAGAAATTCATGTTAGGGTGATGCTTCAGTAGATAAGGGGTAGTACGTACGATGTAGAAGACTGTCAGCAACAGGTTGTAGTCATAGCCAGCAAGACCAAGATCTTCCTCAAGACCAGCCAATCTAGCATTACCAATATTGGCACGATCGACAAAGCACATCAAGTACAAGATAGTGACTGACGGCATGATGTACCAGTCTAGCTTGCGGCGGAGCTTCTTCTCAGCCTCTGCGTCGAAGGTTGCGATGGGGTTTCCATGCCTGGCAACGTCAATAGAGCTCAAACAAAGGGGCAGTTCGCTTACTCGTCGGTGGCAAGATGTCCTCTCGCAGCAGCATCATGGGTATCTGCATGCTCAAATTCTTTGCTCCAAGGCTCCTTTCCATTGCCCCTCTCTGCGTCAGAATCTCTTGCAGTCATGATGAAGTACAAATTCACAGATGTCCTGAAGATGACTGTGACAGAAAGGAAAGTTGTCGATCAGGGAGAAGAGAGCCGTTTAATACTGGCTCTGGTAAGCGCGATGTCCAATCTCGAGCGTGCCGAGAATGCCAAGAGTGAGGGGGAGTCGATAGTGCATCGGATGACGGACCGAACAGTATCGGATACCGGGTCGAGCTATCATTCTGGACAAAAGGAGTAATCAGTGACAATCCAAGGAAGGAATTGGCCAGTAGGAAGTGTTATGCTTAACATGGGTAGCGAAAGATAAGCTTAATGATGGGGGGAGAATCTGGGGAATCAGATTGTGGGGGAGACCCGCTGGCGGCTATGGGATCATCGCCGTTGCTGCAGTCAAGGGAGTATATCCGGTGATTGACCTTGTCGCTCAAATAGCCGCTGGTTCGTGGCCTTTTGTTTGATAAATCTTCGGTGTTTTCTCTGCATCACCTCAAGCCACGGTGTTTTGTATAATTCCACGTTGGTCTTGTCTGCTCGGAACACAGGGTCAAGGCTCTTTCCGAGCTTCCAGAGACATACACTCAGCTCCGAAAACCGCGCAGAGATACAGAAATAGATGGGCCCAAGTGTCACGCTATGATTTGTCAAATGATTTCAGTGATGAAATGGATGGCGAAGATCGATCGTGCTGGGAAGGCTTTGTCGGCCAGTGTGTTTTCCCGACACGTTCCCCCGCTCCACATTTCGAGAGACGCGACAATTTGCCTTCTGCATCACCATGTCTGGGCGCGTTGGATAGACTATGCGCTCTTTCAGTGCTGAATACAATGGTATGAGAGGCCAGGTCTTCATTCTTTCAAGTGCACATCCGTATCGTTCTATTATAGTGCGATCATGTCCCTTGATGTTGCCGACCAGTCAAGCCGCGTCTGCCAAGCGTTTAACTCAGTTTCTTGTGATGCCTTCCGAATGCAAATCATTTGACGGCCGCTCTTTGACACGCATTTACTTTCTAGAAATGTCTTTTATTACTGGATCGGCAGAGGAAGCTTGGCGTAACTTCATTGCCTTTCTGTGTGTTTACTCATCGCGTCGTGTTGATTAAGATGGAATTCGTAGTTACGACTCAGTAATCCACCCAGCACTTATTGTCTGCCATAAAATGATTTTGATGTACTCTAACACGCAATTACACTTAGTAGTTGCTGCATTCGGATACGGAGATAGCAATAACCCGATACTGAAGTAATAGAATACGAATAGGTAGACGAACTCCAAGACTCCACGATCGTTATTATACGTGGTCGCTTTTTTTACCATTTGCTCTGCGTCAAGTGTTTACATTGTCCAGGCATGCTTTTACACTTGGTCTGATAACTTTGCAATGCAATATCGATGGTCTTACTACTCCAATGGCATACGGCTTCCTCAATCGACCCATCATCTCTAGATAACCTCATTTAGCGATCCAGATCCAAATTGAACAAAAATACAATGGTGCAGGGTAATCACTCTCGCAAGCCTCTGACTTGGAGAAATCTAGAACTGGATAGTGCGCGTACCAATACCCCAAGCGCGCACTAAATCAAGGCACTATCGAAGTACCCATACTTGCTCCTCCAAGTTTTCGTGACCCACTGGAATGGGGGACACGCGACAGCTAGAATTTTTACGCGGGGCCCCAGGTTCCTCTGACGAACCGTGGGCGCGTAGCCTAAACCCCGTCGCCAGCGCAAAGAACCCCCCTTTTGGGTAAATACATGACCAATGCCAACTTGGAAGTCCACTTGGACTGTTTTGAAGGTGGTGCAGTTGGAGATGTCTCATGTTTGATCGGATTGATGGATGTGATGATGTTGGAGCACTGGCCAGCTGTTAATTGAAGTTGTAGCAGTCATTCATCGCAGGTGCCGCGACTCAAAGGAGGGTGCAACTTGAAGATCAAACTCAAGAAAACTAAATATCTACAGCGAAATGAACTTGTCAATTGATGCAAGTGAACCTCAGTATCTGGTAAAAAATTAGTCTCCAATTGAAGATGTCATCACCCCAATTCTCACGAGCCTCCTGGCACTCGCTCGCCGGTGGTGGTCAGACCCAAAAACCACACTATTCCCAAAGAAAGGGTCTTAGCCTACCACTTTCTCGCCCATAACGTAGTAAACTCCAGAAAATTAGATCCCCCAGTCAAATTGCCTGGGGTACAAAAATGTTTAAAAGACTCGGACTTTCTCCCCATACCCCAGATTTCATCACACCAACCTCCCCCACAGCTTCGTCCTCACTTCACCATGTCTACATCGGACGGTCCTTATACCTTGGAGCCTACAGCTCCCAAGAAGACTATCTGGAAGTCTATTCGGGAGAATCCCAAGGTCATCTTTATTGCCTTTTTCGCTTCGTAAGTACTCCTTACTTCACACGTGTAAATGGTTTATTGACTGAGTTATAGACTTGGTGGTTTTGAGTATGGTTACCAACAGGGTGTCTTGGGTCAATCCCTCGTCATGACCCGCTTCACACAAAACTTCCCGTCTGTTGTTGAGTCATCCTCTGCAACAGGATGGCTCACATCTATCCTCCAACTAGGCGGTATTCTTGGATCACTATCAGCTGGTGTTTCTAGCGAACTTATCTCGCGAAAGTACACCATGTTCATCGCGTGCTTGTGGGTCGTCGTCGGCAGTTATCTTTACGTCGGTGCCACTGCAGGAAATCCCCAGCTTCTCTATGCTGGTCGATTTTTGACTGGTGTTGGTGTTGGTCTTTTCAGCGGTGTTGGACCTCTATACAACGCTGAGCTTTCGTCGCCTGAGATGAGAGGTCTTCTTGTGTCGTTTTATCAGCTTGCGACTATTTTGGGCATTATGCTCTCGTTCTGGTGCGGTTATGGAAGTAACTACATCGGCGGAACAGGCGACTCTCAGTCCGACCTCGCGTGGCGTCTTCCCTCTATCATCCAGGGTATTCCCGCTGCTATGCTTGCTGTCGGTATCTGGTTCATGCCCTTCTCTCCCCGATGGCTCGTCAAGGTTGGCCGCGACGAGGAAGCCAAGTCTACTCTTGCCTGGATGCGAAAGCTCCCCATCGACGATGACGCTGTTCAGGTTGAGTATCTCGAGATCAAGGCTGAGGCAGTCTTTGAGCAGAAGGTTTTCGCTAGAGACTTTCCTCACCTTGCTGAGAGGAACAAGAGCCGTTTCATGCAGCAGATTGCTCAATATGTGACTTGCTTCAGATCAATGGATAACCTCAAGCGTGTCTGCACTGCTTGGCTTATCATGTTCTTCCAGCAGTGGTCAGGTATTGACGCTATCATCTACTACGCTTCCAACGTTTTCATCAGCCTGGGTCTTACTGGAGGAACTATTGCTCTTCTTGCTACTGGTGTCACTGGCGTTGTCTTCCTCATCAGCACCATTCCTTCTATGGTAAGTCGCTCAACTACTCGATGCCCTGAATGTATGCTAAAATTGCCTTTCACAGTTGATCATTGATCGCGTTGGTCGCAAGCCTCTTCTGTTGATCGGCTCCGTGGTTATGGGTGCCAGTATGATCACTGTCGGTATCATCGTCGCCAAGTTCCGCCACGACTGGCCTAACCACGTCGCTGCTGGTTGGACTGCAGTTGGTAAGTCAATGCTTCGTCTACCAGCCTTTAATGATTATTAACATAATATCAGCTCTCATCTGGGTCTATATCGCTGGCTTCGGCGCTACATGGGGTCCCGTCTCCTGGACCCTCGTCTCCGAGATCTTCCCCCTCTCCATCCGCGCCAAGGGAGCTTCCATCGGTGCCTCAAGCAACTGGGTCAACAACTTCGCCATCGCCTTCTTCGTTCCCCCCATGCTCGAGTCTTGGGAGTGGGGAACCTACATCTTCTTCGCCGTCTTTCTCTTTGTTGGTATTCTTTGGGTCTGGTTCTTCTTGCCTGAGACCAAGAATGCTTCTCTTGAGGAGATGGACCGCGTCTTCAAGAGCCGTGCTGGTGAACAGGATGCTGAGTTGCTCCGTGAGGCTCAGGCCGAAGTTGGACTTATGGGTTCCGCGGCGGGACGCAAGGCTTCTTTTGAGAAGGAGGGTGAGAAGCATGTTGAGGCTCTGTGAATGGGATATGGCTCGTGATGATAGGATAGTCTGGAGCGGGGATGAGATGTTTATGGTGACGATGAGGTTGTAATGTAGATACCACGCTATGCATAATGATCATTTTGGACATTTCTTAATCTAATTGCCTATATCATCTTGCTTTATAAGTACCAAATGATGAAGTATGGTCTAATGCATATGTACAAACATGTGCATCCAATCAAGACTCATCCCAACGCCAAGACAACCACAGAAGATAATCCATAGGGCTGACGCTAGCCAAATCTGTATTTATCGTATATAGTAATCGTATATGCACAGAGATAATCTCTTGCAAAGTTTCTACCATGTCGCAGAACAAACGGACGCTGACTAGCCAGCTGGAGTGAGAAGATGGCAATGACATCATCCAAGATTGACGAATGCCTTAGGACCTTGCAAGTGATTAAATAACACATGTCAGAACATTTCAACCACAATATCAGAGTATAGCTTTTGTATCGAAAGACTCTGCCTCAACAGAAGTCAGGTAGAACGACCGGCGACGTGCGTGGTGAAATCGCATGTTTACGTGAGCGGGCCCAATCGCCACTATTAGCATACGAACAGTCTGATTTAAAGTCATAGACTCGCGCGGGGAACTTTACCTTGTCGCAGTCTGTGCTTTCTGGGGCAATTCAGTCCCAAATTGAAGCTCACAGTTACCTAGAAAATGGAGCCTTGCTTCCTCCGGTTGTTACGTTACCGAGTCATGGTTTGAGAATCGCGTCGCCTACGGCCCCCGAATGCGGCTTAGTCCATCAACATCGAAACTTTGAAGAACTTCATGATTGGCCAATTGCAATTCCAATTGGTGAGCGGCCACCCTTGGAATGGATCCTTCGGGGATCACCGGCTTCTGGAAAATTACCTTGTTTCTGTCACACTTGACACATGAATTGAGAGTGAGCAGGAACAGGCTATAGTTCCGCTTTGGGACCGTATTTGCACTCATCATCTCATTCTTCCTTGATGTCGCTCACGTCGTGCCTTGTATAGGCGATCAACCTAGCTCTCCATACTCCACTCATCACCTTACAATGACCTTCTTCCCATCAGAAGACTTCTCCCTCGACCCCCGCTTCATCGAACTGCAGGAAGAGCTCCGCACAGTCCTCTTCGCGGGTCTGTCTGGCCTATCACCCAGCGCATCAGTCACACCCGAAGCAGACTCATCATCACCACCAACATCATCCCTCAACCTCTCCAGCGTAACAGTCAATGTTCCCAATGATAGATTAATATGCTATCTTCAGAACTGGGTTACAGAATGTGCGCCGTACCTGGACAAGTTTGATGAGGATAAGCATTTCCAGATTCACGTTCCGCTTATGGCGCAGAAGAGCCCGGCACTGTTATATGCCATGCTTGCGTTTTCATCACGGCAGATGGAACGGAGAGGATTAACGCAGGAAGGTGGTTGTGATAGTCTCGAGCTGTATCAGGAGAGTATCAGATTGTTGAGCCCTGGATTACAAGCCAAGGACCCTAATATGCTTGTTACGGCTTGTATTCTTGCTGTTTTTGAACTCATGTCTGGCGGTTCTAAGAACTGGAAGCGTCATGTCGAGGGCTGCGCGTCGCTATTTGAGTTCTTTGGAGTTGATGGTTTCTCCGGTGGCCTACCGCAGGCTGTCTTCTGGTGCTATGCCAGGATGGAGTTGTGCGGAGCGATCATATCAGATGGGACAGAAACAGCTGTTCTTCCTCTGTCAAAATGGGCTCCATCACCACCTGAGTCGCTGATATCCTCTGAACAGGTTGAGCGTTATGTACGAGACATGTTTCATCGAAGGAGCCGAGACTGTCCTGACATGCAGGCTAACTGGGCTATTTATCTCTGCACAAAAGTCTGCGATCTAAAATTTCGAAGAACACAGAGTCTAGAACTTGGGAGAGCAGATGTTCAAGATGACAGACCGTTTCAAGAACAATGGCAACAGCTCTGGAACGAGCTCCAATACTGGCTTGACGAGCGCCCAGCAACAATGAAGCAAATCAGTATGGTCGAAGCAGGCGACAAACAGATCTTTCCAGCCATGCTTTTCCCCCACTGGGCAGCTATCTCGAGTAATCAGATCTATCACACTGCATGTATCCTCATGCTGGAAATGCGTCATGACTTAGACTCTCAGTGCTTGGCGCTGTGGCATGCACGACAAGTCTGTGGAATATCCTGCGCAAACCTTCATCCCGGAAGTCTTGTAAACTCTATACAGCCACTCTATATAGCTGGAAAGCTCTTCTCACATGTCAACGAGAGGAAACAGATTGCTAGGCTGTTGAAGAGCATTGATAGGACGACGGGATGGGGAGCTTTGTGGAGGTTGACGGATCTTGAGGCTGAATGGGGCTACGATGTTGGCGCCCTGCTAAAGACGTTGTAAGGACTTGCGACAGGGATTTTAGCGAAGAGGAGACCCAGAGAACTGGTAACATATCATAATAATAAGCATGATTCCACTAGACCCCATTCACATGCTTCTTGGTCGACTATCCGCCATCGCATAACACACCCATTTTCAGGATAGCGTGCCCAGAACGAGTGGAGTCCATCGCCAACACTCGGCGGTCATGCACTGCCCGTATAAAGGTTTTCGTCTTCTAGAAGATCCCTGCTCCGTCTCTAATTATCTACACATATTCATATCCTCCAAATAAACGCCATGGCGTCACCAAGACCAGTCATCAGTGTCCTCGGATCACTGAACATCGACCTTGTATCATATGTCCCTCATCATCCCCTCCCTGGTGAGACAATAACTTCAAGCCGGTTCAATGTCTTCCCCGGTGGAAAGGGCGCCAACCAAGCTGTTGCTTGTGCAAAGCTTTCTAGAACTTCTGATCTGAAGAACCCAAGCGTTGATGTTGCCATGATTGGTGCCATTGGAGCTGATGCTTATGGGTCCGTACTCCTTGACAGCCTCGAGTCGTATGATGTTGGAACGGAATCTATCACTGTGAACAAAGATGGAGGCGCCGAGTCACAGAGTGGAATTGCCATGATCATTGTTGATGAACCGACCGGTCAAAACCGCATCATCTTATCACCAGGAGCCAACAATTCTCTACAACCGAGCCACTTCTCTAAGATGCCTGGTCCAACACCGTCATTGCTTATCATGCAGCTTGAGATCCCTCTGGAGACAGTCATCCAGGCGTTCAAAGCCGCCAAGACGACAGGAACTCCTGTTCTGCTCAACCCTGCCCCTGCTCAAGTACTCCCAGCAGAGATTTACCAAGGTCTAGCACATCTGATCCTCAACGAGACCGAAGCGGCTTTGTTGTCAGACAAGGACGAGTCCGAGTTTGAAGACATCTCAGTTGTTGAAAAGGCCGCTGCTTGTTTCCTTGCTCGAGGCGTAAGGAATGTTGTGATTACTCTGGGCGGTAGAGGAGCATACTTTGCCAACGATACAGGCACAAAGGGTCTCATCCCTGCTCTCAAGGTTGAAGTTGTGGACACGACTGCTGCTGGTGACACATTCATCGGTGCTTATGCAGTTGAGCTTGCAGGCGCTGAGCAACGGTCGGAGCAGTTCGACATTGAGAAGGCTGTCAGGTCAGGAATTTGGGCATCGTCGAAGACAGTCGTGCGAAGGGGAGCGCAAGTGTCTATGCCATGGAAGGATGAATTGGAATCAACGAAGTAACGGAAAATAGTTGATTTATTACGACTCTTATGGCCCTATCTTGTCCGGTCCGCTATCATAAAGTGTCAGGGGTGCGTGTTTGTCGGTGCGCTGCTATGTCTAGAGGAAGACCAAAACTGCTGCAGATCCGCAATCTCGCTCTGTAGAGGGATCTTGGTCGCATCCCCAATTCGCTGGAAACATGAGAGTAATGCTTCCTGCTGGGATGGATATGTCATGTCTCTCGCTATACGAACAACAGTTGCAACCACGACAGGGTCCCATTGATCAGAAAAGTTATTCCACAGAGCAAGTTTGGCGAGTTTCTGAGCATGCCAGCTTCTTGAGGCTAAGCGATGCGGGATCGATGATAATTTGACTAAGCGTGGTTTATATGAGAGCAGTAGAAGGGCTGAAAAATGAATCGCTAGGTTTGCTTGGACCGCGATCGCGCTTGAATAGACATCTGCTATAAATGGGGTGTTGGTGGAGGTTGCGTGGTCAACTTCGGGACTTTCTAGCAAGGGGATCATATCGGGAGGACGGTCACGAAACCATTGGACGCATCTTGCCCAAAGCTTGGACCATGTTGACCAAACAAGCGAGTATGATTCGTGAGTTGGTGATTGTGCGGGTACGATCCCGTTGAAGAGAGGGATGATTTCGTCGTGGATTAAGTGGCAGCATGCCGCGAGATGTGTTAGACAGTCGTCGTAAATGCTCGGCGGTGTCAGGGCAGAGGTTAAGAATGTGTCGTTCATAAGTGGTAGGGACTGTAGTGATAGGGACTTGGTGGTAATAATGGAAGCAGCAAGCTCTGTTGGCAAAAGTCAGCTCGTCTCTTGCAAAGGATGAGATAAACCATGGTACCTGTCTTGAAGTGAAAGCGGTCAAGAGTTTTGAGCGGTTCCTCCTGACTCTCAAAGAACTGGCATCGCTCTTTGACATCCACGCAGTCAGAGTACAGATTTGCCCAGTCAGATGGGCCAGTATAAAAGAAGTTACCGAGAGCAAGTAGTGATCGTCCGACATCAGCGATGAAAGCATCCTCTAGGGATAAACGATGCTGGAACTGTTGAACGAGATGACTATCGCTTTCATGACTGGCAGAGTTCGAACTCTTCCTACTCCGACGCATAGCAACCCATATAATGATGTCCATTATGGTAGACTTCTCTGTCGCTAATGTCATGATCTTTGGTCCAAAGGTTGATCTTGGTGCATTCGAGTCTAGCCAGGGAACTATCTGATAGCGAAACCGAAGCATTGCTGTTTGTCTCTCTGAGGAGTTCTGCTCCGACAGAACTGTTTCGTTCCATCTTGACGGCGTGGGGATTTGGTTCCCGTCGTGTTGGCGATGATTATTGTTTGAAGGGATTGGTTGAGGAACATCTGTTGTCGTGTTGTGAATAGATTCAAATCTTTCTATTCGAGCAGTACTGGCTATAGGGCTCTCAAAGACTGGCTCGGCTGGAGCAGGGCTTGACTCGACGAATGATAGCAAACTATCTTGGATGGGCTGAAAGCAGTGTTAGTGATCGACTGACTCGTGGAAAGCAGGAGGACTGACCAGAGATGAATCAGCGTCATCGCCATTATCCCCCTGTACGCTACCATCTTTCCGCAGTGATGAGCGTACCCCTGGCACAAAGGTCCACTCTTTGAACTCGCACGTCACATTCCTCCCGATACAGCTGCCGCATTGAGGTCTTTGTTCATCACCTTGCATCCAAATGTTAGACAAAGTCACCGGGAGAGACGCGACTGACTAACATTTTCTGCGCCGTCTTCGACAGGGTATACAGCCTGTGCGGGACCGTCTTTTGTTATCGGGTATTCGTCTTACGACTGGCATCGCGATAAGGTACGCACGCGTTTGACGAGAAAAGATGGAGCGGTGGGAAAAGAGGAGTCTTGAGGGCGGTGGAGAGGGGCAGAAGCTAAACTTAATTTCTTGGAGCCGACGATAGGGACAACACGAAAAGATATCTGACTCTGGGATATGGCTGCTGATTCCCATATGGGAAGACGTTCCGGAGAATAATTGATGAAAGATATGAGAGGGGTTCTGCATCAATTTCTTGGCTGACGAAATGGCATGCAACTGCCAGCGGCACATTCCCAGGCCATGATACTAGACCAGAAGAGGATAAGTTTTAATATTCCCGTACTGTAAATGGTGTTATCAACACTGTGCATCCTCTGTATAACTAAGCTTAGGCCTTGAATAATGATCAAGATGGTCAAGGTTACCAGAAAGCAGCAATGCTGGTCTCACATAAAGCTCATCAGCACTCAAGTTGCAGTCAGGTCATCGAGAACCACTGGAGCGGATCCGAAGTCCAGAGCAGAACGTCACTCAGCAAGAATTCACTGGGTCTAATCAATGGAGTGAGTCAGGGAAACCGTTTGCGAAAATTTCATTAACACGATAGCATAAACTGTAAGACGAAAGAGGCCGCAAGAATCTAATTCAGCCTTGTGAGGCTAATCTTCTGGAGCTGTAGTGTTGCGACCATGACCATTTGGCTTGACAGATGGGTAAGGCGTGATCAAAGAGCAACGCCATCGCGGGAAAGCAATTTCAGCCCCAGAAGCCTGGACCACAGACTATTTATGCGGCTGAGAATACCCAAGTCATCATTGGTCCCTTCTACATGAGTTTAATGCGCGGCGCTCCTAGAGTGCATGAGAATGTCACACCTCCGTAATGAAGCGGCTCAAATCTCATATGGAGCATTTACAGACGTTACATTTATGCCTCGAAGGCCAAGTAGATCGAAACCACCAACATTTGAAAACAAACTGTCTTGAAACTTTCACTATGATGAAGCTGCAGCTCCTGCTCTTCGCTCTCTTCGCATCTCTTGCACAAGCCCAGTGGAAGGGTTGTTCCAGTCCCTGGCCCAACATTACCCCGGGCAAAGAATTCACCATCAAAGATAAATGTCGCACTCTTGCAGGCTATCCAAAGAAATTTGAAGAGGCCAATACAGAAGTCACCGTGACGTATACGCAGCAATGGAGCCGTCTACCCAGCAAGAGCAAAGCAGCCGTAAACCCAATCCTCAAAGAATCTCTCGAGAAAAGCATGGAAGTCTACCGCAAATTTGCAAAACTCCCATCGAGCATTATCATCATCCTGACGACAGAAAGTGATGAAGATTTTACAGCCGAGACTGTTTATCCCAATCTCAGGAAGCCACCATGTCAAATCAAGCTGTTCAACAGATGGACCACCGAAGCAACGACGAACAAACCTCGGGTGCTACAGGCTCTTGCGCACGAAATATACCATTGCATACAGGATCTTGGAAAACTCGGGAATTCTGTTGATCCGCAGTGGGTTCGTGACGGCTCTGCGAATTATTTCAGTAACCTCGTCTTTCCTGACTCCAACGCTGAATGGCCTGATAAAAAGCATAGCGGCGTTGCGTATAAGCCTAATTTGCCAATCTATGCACATGTCGGTAAAGAAGCTTACGCAACTAGCATCTTTTTCCAGGCGCAAAAGAAAATGGATGAGGATGCTATAAACAAGTTTGTCCTTGCGACGCCTGGGGGATCAACCGGCCTTCAAGAACGAGCTCGTCTATCAGACTTATCTGGTTTTGCTGATGAGTTCTTCACTTTCGCAAAAGATTTTGCACTACAGCAGATCAAAGACACCAATGGAGATCTCATTCCGATCGACAAAATCAACCCCGTTTCTGCGTCAATCAAGTTTGACAAAGCGGGCACCACCGGCACCGCAACGCTCACAAGCACGCCGTTCACTATTTCGGTCTTCAAAATTACTATTGACCCTGGGCGGACGGCAAAGATTTACTCATCGGCGAATGATAACCAGAAGCTTGCTTACCGAAAGTCCGACGCCAAATCGTGGACCGACATGGCTACCGATTCCTCTTCTGGACGCACCATTGATCTTCCGTGCAATCAGAAAAACACTAAACAGACATACATCATTGTATTCATCTCAACTAAAGATGTGAAGAGTGATAAAGTGAAAATCACGGTTGCGACGAGCAAGCCGAAAAAGTGCGGCGCAAGAAGCGGCTTCGTTCTGTATCCTCTATTTAACCCTACAACTAGTGGCGGATACTGTCCCAAGGGAACACATTCTTCCAGGCTAGCTATTTGGTGCTGCCCAGACGGGACACAACTGGATGAACATGTAGCGCAGCAAGTCAGCATCTGCTGTCCAACAGGTCAGTCTCGTGTTGTAAATGTTGTTACGCTGATAGGCTAATGGTCAAAGACGCGGATTGCAGCAAGGAAATCGTCCCAAATCATCTCAGATGCGCTAACCCGGAGTGGAGACTCTGGAACAAGCAGAACAGAGAGGTCGGGTGCTGTCAAGTTGGATTTTACCCTACAGCAAACAGGTATTGCACGACGGATCCTGCGGCATGGGATAGACGTTTCGTACAGGTAATCACATGCTTTCACGGAATCTTAAGAGAGTTTACTAACGGCGAGATCGACAGATTCCACAGAGTAGTTAGTCTAGCTACACGAAGATCGCATCACAGGTGTTCATCAAGGATGGGATTTTCAAGGACATTCGCTTCTGCTTCATCGTATTTGCGGTATTTCGTCGACAAATTCATAGCAATAGGGTAGTCCGAAAACTCAAAATTGAGCTTGTCGCATGCTTAGCCTATCACGGCATGACTTATCTTCCTCCCAAGCCATATTCGGATCTAGTCAAACTGCAGAAATCTTGGTGTCTAGAACCCTCTGGTGAAGATGCAAACCGGCAGATGCATGATCTTCACCGAGGATCGTCTAGCGAGCGTCGTGGTTTTCTCGCCGTTGAACATGGTATTTTGGTATGCGCATTCCTATTTTGCTGCGTTTGGACTGGTCAAAGACTATATTGTGACAGGATGCGCTATTGGACGGCTCGTATCACTGCTGAACCTAAAACGTTGATTCCTCTACTGGTGCTTGCAACACGATATGACTCTGCCTGCATGACTACGCGTTCGATAAGGCTGCAGGAAAAGCAATGGAAGGATCGGGCAAACATATCGGGCTGTCTCGTCCGGTTTGCTCTAAGCTGCATCGCGAACGTTTTACCGAGTCAAACAATAGAACGCCCATCTTACGAGGCGCATGTTAAAGTCGCATCATGCAAGGGCGAGGCTTGAGGAACTGTTATGCTTAATCGATAGCTGTCAAAGCTGCATGCAGCTCGATAGCTAGTTCCAGGCCAGCAATCACATCTTTTCCCACGCCATGGCTCAAGCTCCGAGGCGCGGAAGCATGGGCTTTGGGGAATAGTGTAGCGAAATGGCGCAGCTGAGTGAGAAAGAGTGCATTGTTTGATAGCCCCAAGCGGTAAAGGTCGTTCGAGCACGTTATTGACTCTCTGCCACGTTCATGTGTAGGCTACGGGGCCAAATGTGTTGGCTGAGTGGCGCAACTCTGTTTGGTGATAGTCTAATCGGTGATAAGCAGAGTCGAGACAACGAGACTCCAACATTGTCTGTTTTGGTGATAACTGGCTGTGATGGTGACAGGACTACTTGGGGCTAGGCTCTGGATTGATACGAGCACGTTCTGTGAATGGCTTGCGCTATGGACGAATAAGTAGCTAGATCCGTGGTGGGCCAATAGGTTGTGAGAAAAGAGGGTCGCGATGCCGCCTAGCCCGAGTTTTACATACCAGAGCGACAAGGCACGACATGCCGACCCTGGTTCCTGTAATGGGCAGTGACAGTCGAGTGTTCTGCAGAATGTCATTGGAACACGGGGAACCCTGTTGGAGTGGGCCATGATTTGCGTCTGGATGTTTGCAGATCAACGACTGACTAAAAAGCTTGTCTTGGTGATCATCCGGCGTTGGAAATTAAATTCATCTGACCATGACGGCGGTCCATGTGAATCGCGGCCTTTGCCAAAATGTCAGCGGAGACGAGCCCAATGCTCTGGAAATGACAAAAAGTGACTTATTGCCGCATGCGATTGAGGTTATAGAATGATGGCGATGTCAAGATATGTCGGCTTGGTGGAGATAAGCCCAGATTCAAGCCTCTCGGCGAAACAGCAAAAGGGTGAGAGACATCGCCTAGCCTCTGCTCCGTCAACAGAAAATCAAAAAGTAGCGAACGGTCTTGTAATTCAGAAAAAACATCTAGACCGAGCGCCACAAGGAGGAGCCGCACAGTTGCCAAGCTGTCTCTTCTCTGTAGCGGGAGCCCGGGTAGTCGGGTCTCTCGACTCTGGTTCTGCAAAGAAAGCAGATTCGTGTGGCTCTGCAAGGGGCAAAGACTCGTTCTGTGTTGAGAATGGAAAGGATCAGCCTGGAATGTAAAGGGACCTGCGTCTTTCCCGGCCTGTGGCGCCGCGGGTAGGCCCGTTTTGCATGCCGTTATTGGAATGGTGTTCTCTGTCTCGGTTCAGCTCTCCGATCTAGACCGTGCCTCTCAGGACAGGGGTTTTGAGTCACCAAAGAGGACATCAATTTACCATTTCCTTGGTTATTTCGATCTAGGAGAATTAATTCGACAATTGTTCCAGATGGTGATTGATTGCAACGGGAATAGCCATTCTCTGCCTTGGTTTTCTATCTCCATATCATGTCACTACCAGTATCAATTAGTTACCGTTTCCAGTCCCCTCCGCCAAGAGTCCCGGTCTCCCGTTACACTTATCTCTCGCAATTCCATATGCGGAAAGCTGAAAATAGAAATTGAGTTCACGCAGCAGTACCTTTTTAGCCCTGGTCCCTGGAAGGGTCTTCTTGTGGCTAGAATGAGGCTGGAATAGCACATTGAGTTTATACTGAATATCTCGACTAAACAAACTTTCGACCCAGACGGATTAGGAAACAGGTGAACTTGAAAGATCGGCCAAGATGGAAAGCAACAGTTGTTATAAAAAACCCTCATAGATCAGACCAGAAATGGATTTATTCTCATCAACGATCTCAGTCTACTACACCCACCAAAGTAGTATATTCTTTACATTGTCTTTTTCGCAATGCATTTCATCAAGGCTGTTGTCTGGGGTATATCCCTTGCTGCTGTCAACGCGGCTGCTGTGCCTGCAGATGGATCTGGTGTTACTACGTGCGAGTACTCCGGCGGCGATCGAGCCTGCGAAGCTCATGTGAGTACAATGGGGTATCTGATCTGGTATCAGTATGGGCTAACGATTTCTACAGTGCATTGAGAAGGGTAAAACCTTTGTATCTTGTGCACCGTTAGTATTCAGTTGAGTCAGCTTTGAGATGTAGCTAACATTCGATAGTGAGTGCACGTGTTCCGGTCGCTTGGGCAATCCTCTGAGACGCCTTCTCAAGAGGAAGACTACTTCGTCTGCCAAGCCTACCACTACTTCGAAGCCAGCTACTACATCCAAGAAGCCAACAACCACGTCTAAGCCCGCTACCACTTCCAAGCCCGCTACTACCTCGAAGCC